TGAGTTCAAGGCCAGCCTGATCTATATAACAGGTTCTGGACCAGCCAGGGCTCTGTAGTGAGCTATCTTTTTTTTTTTTAAAGATTTTATTTATTTATTATGTATACAACATTCTGCCTCCATGTATGCCCACATGCCAGAAGAGGGCACCAGATCTCATTACAGATGGTTGTGAGCCACCATGTGGTTGCTAGGAATTGAACTCAGGACCGCTGGAAGAGCAGCCAGTGCTCTTAACCGCTGAGCCATCTCTCCAGCCCCGTGTAGTGAGCTATCTTAAAGACAATGTAAAAGGGCTGGAGAGGGGCTGGAGAGATAGCTCAGCGGTTAAGAGCATTGCCTGCTCTTACAGAGGTCCTTCCTGAGTTCAATTCCCAGTACCTACATGGTAACTCACAACCATCTATAATGAGATCTGGTGCCCTCTTCTGGCGTGTACATGCAGGAAGAAGTCTATACATAATAAATAAGCCCTTTTTTGAAATATTTATTTATTTATTATGTATACAATATTCTGTCTGTGTGTAATACCTGCAGGCCAGAAGAGGGCACCAGACCTCATTACAGATGGTTGTGAGCCACCATGTAGTTGCTGGGAATTGAACTCAGGACCTTTGGAAGAGCAGGCAATGCTCTTAACCTCTGAGCCATCTCTCCAGCCATAAATAAGCCTTTTTTTTTTGTAAAATAAAAAAAAATAAATAAACAAAAGGTGGCAGGGCTGCAAGATGACTGAGTTCTTGCTGTCCGGACTTGGTGGCTTGCGCTTTGTGTCCAGAATGGCGGGTGTGAAGGTGGAGCCCTCAGCTCGCGCTGATGGGGTTTGTGATGCACACATCGGTAACAAACTCTCACAGGCAGCCCTGGCTGAGGCCGTGCGGCAGGAGTTACTGCTGCACTTGACTTTTCTTCTGGGTGTTTACAGAGTGTTTCAGACCGGCCGCATGCTGGCGGGGGAGTGGCTTGGCTATAGGTTTGCCTGGAGTTCCTTTTGCTCCAGGCTTCAGGCTGACAAACAGCCCCAACTCGCTGCTTGTTTCCAGGGAAATGACGATTCAGACTAGGAACTTAAAGCATGTTCTGCCATCATATCAGGACATCCATGTCTACTCCACATGATGTCAGATGCCTGCACACACAACCCCCTCCCTGCCTGTCTGCAGGAACCTCCCATGTACATATAATTAAAGGCCCATGCCAGCAGTATTTAGAGGAGGGCAGAAAGGCTCAGTAGGGGGTAGAAGTGGTTGCTGCGAAGGTCTGAAGACCTGAGTTCAAATCCCAGGGCACGTGTAAACGGTGGCCAGAGAAGCACACATCAATCATCCATCTGCGCTGGGATGAGGGTGGAGACAGGTGGACCTGCCAGAGACTCGGAGGACAGCTGTGGGGGAGAGGCTGAGAGATGCTACTTTGATATGGTGGAAGGCATGACCTGACATTCGGGGTACTCTGACCATGCAGCAAGCCCTGGGTATGGTGATATACAGCTGTAATCTCAGGTTCAGGAAGATCAATTCAAGGGTATCGTTAGCTACAGAATTGGTGCTCCGTGAGATCCTGTCTCAGTAAAAACAAAACAAACAAACACACAAAAACAAGTAAGAAAACACACAAGCCTTAGCATGCAGCATGCTGCACCTCCTGGCAAGTGTCCTTTGGCCCCTGTCCCAGGAATGTGCTGTCCTAGGCTTAAATGGCCTGGTTTTAGTACAGAGGGCAAAGGTTCAGAGAGGCACAGATGGCTCTGGGCCCTGACCAGAAGTCAGCACAGTTGCTGGCTTCATCAGGTGGAATTTGACCAGGAAGGCATGGGGGCTCCTGGATCCCCCAAATGAGATGCAGGTGCCCTGGAACTTCCAGAAAAACCTTACCTGATGCTTCTGTGTGGTCCCAGCCTCCAGAGTTTCCCCCAAAAAGGTGACATGCCCAGGCAGCATGCCAGATCAGGAGAGGAAGCTCAGAGTCACCAAGCAACCCCACACTGGACATGGCAGTCTGTCCTGAGAGCAACAACAGCGGACAACGGGGACAGGGTGTCTGCATCTGGATCCACAAATCAGACTGGACATTTTACAAAGTTGGGTTTTTGTTGTTGTTGTTGCATCTGCTTTAAGACAAGGTCTGGGCTACACTTGAGCTGTAGCCCAGCTTTTTTCTTCATTTTTGTTTGCTGAGGACCAGGGCCTTGGCATACAATGGGCTTCTGTGGAGGAACTTCCTTCCCCAGTCCTCCAGTGCTGTCCCCACTGGAGTATTGGGTGTGCCCAGGCTCCCCCACATCCAGGCTGATTGGCTTCCCTCCCTCCTCCTCTCCTTCCCTCCCTCCTCTCCTCCTTCCCTCCTTCCTCTCCTAGTTCCCACTCCTCTTCCTCTCCCTCCTTTCTTCCTTCTCCCTCCTTTTTCCCTCCTCTCCTCCCCTCCCTCCTCCTCTCCTCCCTCCCTCCTCCCTTCTCTCCTCCTCCCCTCTCCTCCCTCCTCCCCCCTCCTCCTCTTCTCTCCTCCCTCCTCCCCTCCCTCCTCCCCTCCCTCCTCTCCTCCTTCACTCCCTCCTTCCTTTTCTCCTTTTATCTGTTCTTTGTGACCCACTATAGGGTCCCTAGATCAGCATGGAGGCTGTACCATGACTGTGCCCTGCGGATAATGCCTTTCCCTCCAGCAACTGCAAACTGCCTAGGGGCCTCCTTGGGCCCTCTTTGCACACACCCTGCTAGGGTGGTTTTGTGTATACAGGGTCTTTCTGTATTGATCCCCGCCTTAATTTTTGAGGCAGAGCCTCTCTCTGGTTGGGCACCCTCTGGTCTCCACCCCTAGGGCACAGCCATACTTGGTTATGTATATTTATGTGGGTACCAGGTCAGCACATTTGCGGGGGCGCCGTGCCCACTGAGCTGTCCCCTTGGGGACTTTTGCTCCACAGTTGGTTGGAGGCCCTCTGAGGAGCACCCCAGGGTTTTGACCCTAGAGTAGGGTTGGCCCAGGCTCGGGGTGAGCTCTCAGATGTTCTGAGCTTCCCCGAAGCTGTCAGAACCCAAAGAGCTGTGTTTTATGGGACCTCCAGCCTGGACTTGCACAGGACTCCCGGGAAATCTCCACAGGAAACTCCAAACCCCAAAGGCAGTCCAAATGTCCAGAAATGGACTGGGCGTGGACTGTAGGAGGACTTCTAGAGGTTAGATAAAAGTCTTGGGAACTTAGCTGGGTCCCCTCTACCAAAAGGAGCCCCTTCTCTGTGGCTTGCCCAGTGCCTATCAGCATATCAAAGCCCGTGCTGGCCCCCTCAGAACAAACCCATCCTAGCCCTTCTGCCCTCCTGCTTCCCCAAGTTCTGCTCAGTTCTCAGGCCTCCTTCTCTCGGTTGCTTTGTCCTTATAACCCTGATATTTCAGCTATGCTCTTTCTGTGTTCACGCCTTGTTCTCTCTCTCTCTCTCCCTCTTTCCCACCTTTCTTCCCTCCCTCTCCCCCCCCCCCCCACCTGCTAGTCTCCCCTCCTCTCTCACAGACAGCCCTGGTCATGTCCAGGCTACTTATTTCCTTCTCTCTTTCTCTACTCCGTTCTCTGGCGGTCTCTATCTATAATAAACCTCTTTCCTCAGAACCCACTGAGGAGCAGGCAAGTTGTCAATTATACACCAGGCAGTCAGGGACAGGGTGCTCGATCGGAGCTCGGGCCCAGCAGCTCCCCAGTGTCCTGGAATACTGGGGTCACTGCCTGGCACCGGATGCTGTGGCTCTGTCCAAGGCCAGCCTTGCCTCTGGGGACACCGCCAGGGGGCTATGTTTTCTTTATCTGGGGTTTTACAGGAATCACAGGAGAGGATACAGGCTGGCACGGATGTCCCGCGTGTTCAGTGGTCGTGTGGTCAGACTACCCGTGTAAGCAGCAGATGGACACACCACAGTAACGAATAAGATTTAAAATAACAAACTAGCAAAATAGGACTTGTGGGAGAGCATGGGTGGGCAGACAATAGAGGGACAGAAACTCTGCGGGAGGTGACAGGCAGGAAAAAGGGAACCCAAAGGAGGTCCGGGTGGGGAGGAAGCTTCCTTTAATGCAGATGACACTTGGAGAAGGCCGGCAGGAGGAGGTGCGCGGTTGAGCAAAAGCCTTGGGGTGGCGTGTCACCAAGGCCATATAGAGAAAAGTTGCGGTCCAGGGGCCAGTCTCCTTGACAGTGAGCAAACGCCCTGCATGGATTTTCCCTTTCTCCTGCGCCCTTCCCTTGGCCTTGTGCTGGAGTGACCCCTCTGTCCCTTCAGCCTCGGCCAAGAGAGCTCTGACCCTGCCTCAGTGTCCTTGTTTGTGACTTGTGATGAACGGAATTAAAGGGTTCCCCAGCCCCCCTGGCCCCGTTCAGACCGTTCTGAGAGGTAGGTATACAATCCGCACTTCATGGAAGTTGATAAATAAGTGATCGGCCCGTCCTCAGAGAGCTGGCCCTGTGCGCGAGCTCGTAAGGGGCTATATCCTATGAAGTAAATGTTCCCTTCGTAAGAAGGTAAGCTGAGGCTGGGAAGGGTGGAGAGGGGCGCACTCCCATTGCCCACTTAAACGTTGGAGGCGGGGCTTGGGGCGGAGCTGGCTCAAGAGCAAGTGGAGGGGAGGGTGCTGAAGGAAATGGGCGGGTTCAGGCAGGGGGTGGGGGGGAAGCACGGGGCTGAGCAGGGCGGGGCAATGCCCGGGGCGGGGCCAAATGGGGACCAGGTATCCTCGCCTAGGCTTGGGCGTCTGGGGATCTGGAGCCCGACGCGGTGGCGCTCGGGGGCGTGGCCAGGAGCGTGCCCCGTCCCAGGCAGGACTTGGAGGCGGGGCTTTGGAAGGCTGGGGCGAGGTTGGGTCGGGGTGCGGCTACCGAGGGGCGTGGCCAGGGAAAGGGCGTGGCCCGGGGACTGGGTGGGGGTTAGCGGCGCGCTTAGGGCTCGGCGGCACCCGCGGGGCCGCGCATCTGCTCGGGGGCGTGGCCGGGGCGTGGCCGCGCAAGCCCAGCGTTCGGGGGCGGGGCCGGGCGGCCGGGTTGGGCTCGCGGTCCGTGTCCGCTCCAGTCTCCGCCGCCGCTGTCCCAGTGAGCGTGTCCCGCCATGGAGCAGCCGCGGAAGGCGGTGGTGGTGACCGGTAGGTGAGGCCGGGCCGGGGGCGGCGGGGCAGGTCTCGCGGTTGCCACAGCTTTGCAGTTGTCGCCGCCCGCGACAGCGCCGTTCGGCCCTGGCGACCTGAAAAGTCTGAGGTCCCGCGGCCCGGAGTTCGGGGTGCGTGGGGTCTGGGGTGCAGACAGGTCCCCTCGCCCGCTGCAGCGCCTCCCTGCCCCTCCCGAGCTCGGGCCTGTCCCCACCCCCTGACCTCTGGGACAAAGGCCGGTTTAGGCCAGGAAAAGTCCAGGTGACACACGGTTAGTTCAGCACCCTGCATTGTTGGCAGGTGGAGGCCTGCGTCAGCCTGACCCCAGAATGGCCCAGTGACTTCTGACTGCTGTCACCAACATCCCCGGAAGCTAACCGTACTTATTTCCTGAGACTCAGCCTGGGCCGCTTGGTGGAGTCTACTCCGCCAGGCCTTGGAGGAGGGCACTCAGGTTAAACCTCTGCCGGGAGAGGCCACACGAAGCAAGCTAGGAAAACTCCTACAGGTGTTTTGTAACTGAGGAAGGTTCTGGCTATAATTCCTCCAAACTGGAGGAAGCTGCTCCCCTGCTGGACAGGTGTGAGTGACCGTGCCCGGATCCCATGGAACATACTATGGCGGGCTGTTTATTTGACTGGTTGGTTTATAGAGAGAGTGTCATTTTGTTGCTCTGTCCTTCTGACCTGGAACTTACTCTGTGACCCAGGCTGACTACAAATTCAGGGTGATTGTTTAGACTCACAAAAGCTGAGATGAACAGTGCTTGCCACCATGATGAGGTGCTACCAAGATGTGGCCTCTACCTGCTGTCCTGAGGTATGGTGGCCATCTCTTAACACTGGCAGCAGGTGGGACCCTTACACCTGAGTTACATTAACCCGGATTCTTGGAGGACCGTGACTTCTTTAGGGTTAACCAACCCTTTTTCCAGGGTCGCCTAAAATCATTGGAAAACACACAGATGTTTACGTTACAGTCACAGCAGCAGGGAACTCACAGTTATGAGGCTACAGCAAATGGCTCCATGGCTGGGGTCACCACAGCGCGAGGGATTAGATTAGGTCATTGAGCCTGGGATCTGCCTGTCTCTACTTTTCCAGCCCTGGGGTACTAGTGTGGATCACCACAGGCGCTGTGTATTGTGTCTGAACTCAGGTCCTTGTGTGACAAACATTTTGCTCACTGAGGTATTTTTATGGCTCTCTTTATTTTGAAACAAGGTCTCATGTATCCTGAAACTCCCAGTTCTCTTGCCTCGGCTCCTAGGTCTGTAGTGTGCGCCATGGTACCCAGAGTGACGAGAGTCGGGAGCTGGGTGTGTTGATTTTGGTTTTTCCTTTTTGTTTTTTCAATGTATTTTTTGTCAACCCAGTGGCTAGCCAGCTTATCAGGATTTGAACCCAGTGCTTTCCACTCTCTTGCTGTGAGATCTCAGCAAAATAGCTTCCTCTCTCTGCTTCAGTCTTTACTCAGGGCTGTTAAACCCAGGAAAAGAAACCAAATGCCACAATGCCTCGAGTCTGCCTTGGTCAGAGGTAGTGCCTAGAGGCTAAGGGACCAGGAGGAGGTGGTGTTCAGGTAGCCCCGCCCACAGAGATCCCACAGAGCCTGTGAACTCCTCATGAGGGCCGTGGTCCTGGGTTCCCAGAGCTGGAAGACAGCCCATCACAAACAATGACAATATAACTGTAGTTTGTATCCTGACTGGAGAGTGAAGTTGTTAAAGGAGAGGCCCACTTCCTGGGTGTCCTACCAGGTGTGAGTCCTAACGGGGCAGCCGGTGCCTGTCACCCCAGCGCTCAGCAAGTGGAGGTTCCAGGAGCTTGGGACCCACAGGTGGCTCCTGTCCATGGCTGGGTTGGTGATAAATAGTGTGGGGGTAGGTTGGGTGGGAAGACAGTGACACCTCTTTTCCTGTTTTCAGGGTTTGGGCCTTTTGGGGAGCACACTGTGAATGCCAGCTGGATCGCTGTTCAGGTAATTTGGAAGGCTTGGGGGGGCAGCCTAGCCCAGAGCAGAGTGTCTTCCCACGTGTTTAAACACAATTTAAACATCCCAGATGCGAACCAATCCAGTTTGTTTGTTGAGCGCTTTTTTTCCCATTTGTTTTCTTGTTTTATTTTTTAGCCTAATTGTAACTGTATCGCGCAGGCTAACTTCAGACTCATGATCCTTCTGCCTTGGGCTCCCGAATGCTAGAACCAGGCCTGGCTGAAAGCCTTTCCCACTTCCTGCTGACCTGGTGTCTGGGCACGCCTTTAATCCCAGAGGCAGAGTGAGTTCCCGGACAGCCAGGGCTACATAGTCAGACCCTGGCTAAAAAACCAAACTAACCCCAGCCCAATCTGCCAAGGCTGGGGAGCAGATGGGCACACTGGTCGAGGGCTTAGCCCCTTGGGAAGGAGGGCAGTGACCCTCAGCAGGCATCTCTTCCCAGAGTTTGATCGAAGGAGCGGCTCCACAGACTTGGGTTTCCTTCCAGATGGGACATTCAGACGGACTCAGGGACAATTGAGTGGAGAGAGAAAGACAGACGTTTGGTTCTTAGATAAATTGGCTAGCAGAGACGGCAGCCAGACCCGGATTAATTTTAGCCCATTAGCTGTGTGATTTAAGGTCCCTCTTCCCACCCAAGACTCCGACGTCCCCTGCCACCAGCTCGTCACCCCCCCCCCCACCACAGGAGTCTCAGCCGCTTGCTGCTGCCCCTTTTCTTTTCCGCCTCACACTGCAAGCTGGATGGAGGACCCCAGGGTCCCCGGGACCTTGCAGATGGAAGTGTGGCTGGGGCCCCTGCTTGCACACCCGCTCCCCAGAGCCACAGACAAAAAGAACCAGTGTGTCTCTGCAGACTTGTGTGTCTGGCTTTGTGTGAGCTGCAGACAGGAGGCACAAAGCCGGTGTCTGGATTCCTGGGCTCCAGACTCCGCCATCTGCATGTAAATAGGAAGGAAAATCAATTAAATAATCTTTGGGAATTCCCTTGGAGCTTTTGCTCTCCAAGGAGAAACTTTTGTTTCGTACAAAAACCAAACTGTTTCTCATCTTAGTCCCTAAAAAAATGTTATTTTTTTATGTATTGTCTGTTGTGTATGTGGGAAGGCCCACATGGGAGGGCAGAGATGGGAGGGTCTTCAGGATCGAACCCGGGTTACCAGGCTTGGCCATAAGCTCTGTTACCTGTTGAGCCACCTTCCCAGACCTTACTGCCCACCATCCCCCTTTTTGAAGTTTTGAGACAGGGTCTGCACCCTGGCTGACCTCGAACTCCTGACCCTGCTGCCCAGCTCCCCCATGGGTGACAGGTGTGCTCCCTGGCTGACCTCGAACTCCTGACCCCGCTGCTCAGCTCCCCCATGGGTGACAGGTGTGCTCCCTGGCTGACCTGGAACTCCTGACCCTGCTGCCCAGCTCCCCCATGGGTGACAGGTGTGCTCCCTGGCTGACCCCGAACTCCTGACCCTGCTGCCCAGCTCCCCCATGGGTGACAAGTGTGCTCTAGCACACCTTCTGTGAGAAACTGATTAATCGGTTTCAGATAAGACCTCACTCTGCAGGTGATTCTCCTGCCTCAGTTTCCCAAGTGTGGGGATCACAGAGGGCACCCTCATTGCCAGCTTTCTCTTCATCCCTCCCAGGTCTGAGGTGGTGGGCTGTACATCTCTCCATGGGAGAATAGGTAGTGTCAAGGGCCAGGAAGCCTTTGTCTTGTTACTGCAAAGTCTGGCCCTGAGTGGGCCCCAGAGCTCGGTGATACCCTGAGGTGATTTCTGCCACCACAAGTCTAGACAGACCCTCCAGGAATAGTGTGAGCAAACAAAGAAGGCCTTTGTAGTAGGGTCAAGGGACCCGGTCAGATGCAGCTACAGCCGTGCCCGATTTTGTGGCTGTCTTTTCGGCTGGACAAAGCCACAGCTGCACCCTCTGGCCTGGAGCTTTCCAGCGTGCTGAGCAGTGTGCCAGGAGGAAGCGGGGTGGGATTTGGGGTGTCGGGCAAAGGCAGAGCCAGACGAGGGTGACTCATCCCCACACACTGTCCTCTGCCCAGCAGAGTCCTCACTGAAAGTGGAGGCTCATGGCCTTCACAGGGACGTTAATCACCTGCTGGAACCCCTCTACTGCAGACTGCTCATCCTGGCCTCGCATAGGTCTCAGCCACTCGCGGGGAACCGAGGGCAAGCACATACCAAACACCAAACACACATTGATTGTGTGTGTGTGTGTGTGTGTGTGTGTGTGTGTGTGTGTGTAGGGGGTTTCTTAGTCTGTTTTCTCTATGTCACCCTGACTATCTTGGATTCACTATGTAGACCAGGCTGGCCTACAACTCACAGAGGCTTCTCCTGTCTTCTCCTCCTGGGATTAAAGGCGTGCACAACCACCACCCAGTTAGCTTTGTTTTAATTGTGTAGGTGGGGCATGTGTATATGGGTGCAAATGCCTCCAGATGCCTGAGGCCTGGGGTCCCTTGCAAGTGTAAGTCACCTGGGTCCCCCGGAAGAGCAGAGAGATAGGGTCTCCCTGTAACCCAGGTTTTCCTGGAACTCACCACAATCCTCTTGGCTCAGTTTCGGCCTCTGAGTGCCTGGTGACAGAAACACCACTTGGTTCACCGGGGGCAGGGAGGGGGGTATTTATTTTGCTTTTCTAGTTTGTTCACCAGTGAAGTTCGAAAGTCCATCAAATACAGTTGCCAAGACAACGGCTTGCTCTTTGCCCCTCCCTGATGCTCACCCAGCAGGTGGCGCACGTCCCCTGTTCCAGAACAGTCCTGAAGGAAGAAACTTCTTTCTTTCATGCTTTTTGTTTGAGTTTAGGTGTTTGTTGAGACAGGGTCTTCTTGACCTTCTGACCCCTGCCTTCATCCTGCAAATGTCTGGGCTGACAGGTGTGCAGCACACCTGGTGCTGGCATGGACCGGTACCTCCCCTGCACGCTCCTTGGGCACTCACTGAGCTGCCAGTACTCTTAACAGCAAACTTAGCCCCTTTTTTCTTTAATTTCTTGTTTTGTGAGACAGAGTCTCATTATGAAGCCCTGGCTGGCCTGGAATTAGATTCATGTGGAGAAGGAGGCTGGCCTTAATCTAGCAACAATCCTCCTGCCTCAGCCTCTCAGGTATTAAGACAATCCTCAGGAATATGACAGTGACATCTGGTTTAACATCCTTTCTGTTTTGTTTTGTTGTTGTTTGTTTTTTGAGACAGGGTTTCTCGGTGTAGCTTTGGAACCTGTCCTGGAACTAGCTCTGAAGACCAGGCTGGCCTTGAACTCACAGAGGTCCTCCTGCCTCTGCCTCCAGACACAGAGGTCCTCCTGCCTCTGCCTCCAGAGTGCTGGGATTAAAGGTGTGCACCACTACCACCCAGCATTAGCCTTCTTTGTCGTGAAGTGCCCTCGCCCCGATGTTTTGTTACAGCTACACAGAGAGACTAATCCAGATCTTTCCCAGGTCTGTACTGTGCTTCCCGATCTTTTCCGGTGTTTCCCAGGCAGCCCTGAGGTGGCCGTGGTCCTGAGGAGAAGCTGCTGCCCCAGCTGCTGCTCTGGGTACTCAGTGGGTTGCCAGGTGGTCAGAGGATGACCTTAAACGCCTGATCCTGCGTCCAGTCCCGAGTGCTGGGTGACAGCACACAGCGCAGCCAGCTGAACTGCCTGGTGTCTGAAGATGGGTGTCCCCTGCGGCCTCCCCATCCTCACATGGTGTCTTCTCTCCCAGGAACTGGAGAAACTGGGCCTTGGGGACAGCGTGGACCTGCACGTGTATGAAATCCCTGTAGAATACCAGACAGTCCAAAGGCTCATCCCTGCGCTGTGGGAGAAACACAGCCCTCAGGTGAGCGGTGCACAGGGGCCCCCTGAAGATCCACACACCTAGTTATTGCTCTGGCCTGTGAGTAGTCACCATGACTACTCATAAAAGCTGGCATCCAACTAGAGGCCAGTTCGCAGTTCCAGAGGTTAGTCTAGGATCATCACAGGGCAGCATCCGCCTCCAGTGCCACACCTCCTCCGCCAAGGCCACATCTCCTCACCCTTCCCAAACAGTTCCAAGCCCTGTTGACTGAGCACTCAAATACATGGACCTGTGGGGCCATTCTTATTCAAACCACATTACCTCTTCACAAGCCTGCCAGTGTCACACCCCAGGCAGTGACTGGGGACCTTACAGGGCCCTGCTGCCCTCTGTGTGCTAGCCAGGAAGAGTTTGAGCAAGTTCCAGTTAAATGTTGAGTGTATGAGGCCCTGGTGCACCCAGCACCATCAAAGGAAGTATTAATAAAGAAAAAAAAATGACTTTCAAAACACCTCAAACTGGGTGGTGGTGCACGCCTTTTATCCTAGCACTTGGGAGGCAGAGGCTGGCAGATCTCTGTGAGTTCAAAGTGTCTACCTAACAGTCATTTTGTATACCTGTGTGTGTGGGTGTCTACCTAACAGTCATTTTGTATCCCCTGTGTGTGTGTGTCTACATAACAGTCATTTTGTACCCCTGTGTGTGTGTGTGTCTACCTAACAGTCATTTTGTAGCCCTGTGTGGGTGTCTACCTAACAGTCATTTTGTACCCCTGTGTGTGGGTATCTGCTCCTGCTAAGCTTTGTCCCTCTCTTCCCAGCTCGTGGTACATGTTGGGGTGTCGGGCATGGCCACCACGGTGACCCTGGAGAAATGTGGGCACAACAAGGGCTACAAAGGACTTGATAATTGCCGGTTCTGCCCCGGCTCGCAGTGCTGTGTGGAGGATGGTCCTGAGAGCATCGACTCCATCATTGACATGGATGCTGTGTGCAAAAGGGTGACCATGCTGGGGCTGGATGTGTCTGTCACCATCTCCCAGGATGCTGGCAGGTGGGGTCCCGGGCACCCGAAGGGGTGGGTAACTCCTGGGGTGAGCCTGGGCACTGGACAGCAGAGATCTTACCAGTCACCTTCGTTTCCGAGACCGGGTCTCACTGTATAGACAGGCTGGCCTAGAACTCGAGATCCGCCTGTCTCTGCCTCCCAAGTGCTGGGATTAAAGGTGTGTGCCCTCTTGCCCAGCAAAATAAAGTTCTAGAAAATAGAGATAAGGCTGCCAGGGTCCCCCAAATTCCTCTCATCCCTAGGTTCCCCACCACCTCCCAGGCATTAGCAGGCTTCCCAGAGGGTGGGTGTGGCCGTGGCCCGGAACTGACTCTGACCCAGTGTCCCCTTCCTCCCCTGACCCAGGTACCTGTGTGACTTCACCTACTACACCTCGCTCTACCAGGGCCGTGGCCGGTCAGCTTTCGTCCACGTACCCCCACTGGGCAAGCCCTACAATGCCGACCAGCTAGGCCGGGCTCTGAGGGCCATCATTGAGGAGATGCTGGGTGTTCTGGAGCAGGTGGAAGGGGACATCAGCTGCTGTCACCAGCACTGACAGCCACACACACCCAGTGCTCTGAGAGGAGGTCCTGGCTCACACATCCTCTCCTCGCCTTGGTGGACCTCAAGGCAGTGGATGAAGCTGTCAGGAGACACAGCTGCTGTCCCCAGAGGCCAAGGCTGGGACCAGGGCGAGATGGCCACAGGCTGGTGGCCTGAACACCTGCTGTGCCGCTACCTGGCCCAGTACACTTTGCTTTCCAGGGGCTGTGGACAGGAGTCAGAGCTGTCTCTCTGGTGGGGTCTCACCAAGTGTTAGAAAGGAGTTGGCACTAATCCATGTCCCTAAGCCCTGGATGGTCCCTGGGAAAGCCACCTGGAACTTTGCCTTTTCTGTCTCCCTTCCCCCTCAGTCTTTCCCCACTCTCCTCTCCCTTTCTCCTCCTCCTCCTCCCCCCTCCAGTGCTAGATTAGGGAGCAGAATAATTTATATCCCCATTGTTAAAACTTCAGGCTTAATCAACAAGTGTCTTTCTTTCTCCTGGGGTGTGAGGCCTCTTTTGCCTCCTGTCCTGAAAATGCCATCATTCTTTGGGTCTCCATAGTGGGTTCCCTTTGCTGTCGCCACCAAGGGCCTGGCCCTTCCCTGGACCGCACTGACCCAGCCATGACCTTTTCTTTTCTTGTTTTATTTTTGATTTTTCAGAGGGTTTTTTTGTCACTTTTTTTTTAAGTCAGGTTCTCAGGTTGCCCAGGCTGGCCCTTTGACCTTACTAGGTAACCCAGTTTAGTCTCATTTGAACTCCTCATTCTCCTGCCTCAGCTTCCTAAGTGCCGGGAGAGTAAGGGTTTGGCATCTCCCAGTGTCTGTGGATAAACAGATTCTCATGTCTCCTGAGGGACCTGGGATCAGAGGCTGCGGTGCCCGGGCATGTTCTTACATGCTATATCAGTCACTGGGACATCTGTGAACTGTCTGGTGTGCCTGGGACTCCAGCCAGCCTTTGAACTTCAGGCCTGGAGGAGGGGCAGATGGGACCTGTGGCGTGGACTCCGTCCAAAACAAAGTGCAGCTCCCGCCACCAGAAGCCACATACATTCTGTGGCTTTGTGGAGGGAATGGTGATTGGATGAACCTGGATTCTGGGGTACTGCTCATACTGTACTGTTTTATTGTTTGAGACGGGGGTCTCATTAGCCCAGCCTGACCTCCAGCTCACTGTGTAGCTGAGGTTGACCTTGAACTCTCGACATTCCTGCCTTGGCCTGCCCAGTGCTGGGCCAATGGCTGTACGCTGGGCCTAGCTACCTTTCAGCTCAGATGTTCCTTGTTCTGGCGTGATTTCCTCAGGTCATCTTCCTTGCTCACCCTGTGTCTGCGGAACATTCCTGGCTCCAGGCATCCCTGCCATTCTGGCGCTCTCTCCCCGGGGACCCAGGACTTTGGGACATCGTGTAGACCAGGCTGGACTTGCACTTCTGATCCTCCTGCCTCAGCACCACTGTCCTGGTGTCTGTTCCCAGTGACTTTATTTGGCTTTTGTATTTTGAAACAGGGTTCTCTTCCTGAACTCTGTAGCTCAGGCTGGCCCTCCAACTTGTGGCAATCCTCCTGTCTCCTGGCAAGTCTTCAGCTGGGCTCCAGGCTGCACTCCACTATTAAATTCCCCAAAGGTTCAGACAGGACCCAGGAGAGGGGTCGGGGACTGGGGAGGGTGCCATCATGTGCCCCGAAGCCATGTCTTCACCCATCTTGTCTCACCTGTACTCAGGCAGGACTCCCCGTCTGGCCACCCCAGTGGTGTGCCTGTCATTTTGTAGATGTTACTATTTTTTTTTTTTTTTTGCTTTTTCGAGACAGAGTTTCTCTGTGGCTTTGGAGCCTGTCCTGGAACTAGCTCTGTAGACCAGGCTGGTCTCGAACTCACAGAGATCCACCTGCCTCTGCCTCCCGAGTGCTGGGATTAAAGGCGTGCGCCACCATCGCCCGACTTTAGATGTTACTATTGAGCTGAGGGACTGATATTTATTGAGGTACCCCCTGTCCTGGCCCGAGAACCTTGGTGGGTGGGGCTCAGGGGGTTGGTAGCTGCCAGGTGGAGGCCTAGCCTGGCCACATTTGACCCCTAAGGACCAGGTCACCCCCAACCCTGCTGCTCCCAGCAGGGCCTGAGGTGGGGGCGCCTGGACCTCACAGGTGCTGTGATAAAGTAGAAAGCACCAGGCTGGCCCAGTGGTGGAGGAGGAGAAGTAATGTTGGCATAGATTGGAAGCCGGGGACATGAGTAGGGACAGTGATGGTGGCGTCTGGACTCTTAACCCGAGAAAGTGATTTACACTGTCAGCTTGGACGTGGGAACGTAGTTTGTGGATTAAGATGCTGTGCCCAGGGCAGGCTCCAGGGCGGGCAGCTGAGGTTGGATGACTACTGTAGTACCCAGATCTGAGTTTTTTGTGGTTTGAGACAGGGTATTGTGTAGGCCAGGCTGACCTCATGCTCACTGCGTAGCTGAGAATGACCCTGACCTCTGCTTCCACATCTCAGGACGACAGGTGGAAGCCACCATGCCTGACTTGCCAGTCTTTGAAGTTATACTGATAGTGTCAGCTAAACAGGGAATCTCATGTTCTACTCTGCTCATGACTGGCATGGAAACCTCCAGAAAACGGTGGGCTCCTGAGGCTGAGGGAGGCTGGGAGCCAGGCCAGCTGCTGTGCACACAGGCTGCTCCTGCTTCACCCTGTGGGTGACCCCTCCCCCCCACTGTCTAGACAGCTCACCTTCGACCTTCCTACCCCATGGAGAATCTGAGCCCAGAAGTCCCCTCCGGGAACGGAAAAACAAAGCCATTTCAGTCTTAACACAGTCCCTGTGGGGCCCTGTGGAGCGCTGATGGCATTGCAATATCAACTCAGATTGGCTCCCACAGCCCACCGTCCCTGCATCCACAGGGGGAGCAAAATAATGGGGGCATGTGCCCCCAGCGATGTTGGCTGCAGGGGAGAACATGTTTCATGTTTTTATGCAGTAATGGGGAATGAACCCAGCTGAATGTTTAGGTTTGAAAATCCAAACCCTGAGTGGCAGTTGAACATGCCTGTCAGTGGCACCTGTCCCCGGTTTAGGAGTATTGGTCGCAAGTATTGAGATTTCCAGGCTGTAAGGGTCTCATCACCCAGGCACTGGAGGTGGAGACAGAAGAATCAGGAGTTCAAGCCCAGCCTCCCCTACATAGTCATCAAGTAGCAAGAAAGAGGGGCAGGCAAGATGGCTCAGTGGGTAAAGTCAGTTACCACCAAACCTAAAAGCTTTGATTTGATCCCCAAGCACTCCAAGGAGGAAGAGCAATGCCTCCCAAAAGCTGTCCTCGGCACGCACGCCACGGCGCACTCAGACCCACAGATAAAATGTGCGAGTTTTGTTTGCTCTTAGAGAGTAAGAACCTGAACCTGGTGCCTCTCTATTGTAACTCCATCACTCAAGGCTGAGGCAGGAGGATGGCCTTGAGTTTGAGGTCAGCCTGGAATACAGAAACCCCAGTCTGAAAAACAAAAGCAAAACAGATGACGGGACCTGAAAGATGGCACTGGTGCTCTGCCTGCTCTTGCAGAGGACCTGCTCTTGCAGAGGACCTGCTCTTGCAGAGGACCTGCTCTTGCAGAGGACCTGCGTTTGGTCCCCAGCAGCTGGACAGGTGGCTCACAGCGCCGTGACTCCTCCGGGGTTCCAGCGGCCTCCCCAGACACTGAACTCTCACAGACACAAAATTAAAAGTAAACTTGAAAAATACCGAGAGACAGTGGAGGCCCTGACAGCTTCCTGAACGTTCCTCCCTCCACTGCTGTGGGAAGCACATGTGGGGTGTGTCAGGGACCTGCACTGGGACGTGGCTCGCCATGGCCAAGTTCCCTGTCACACTGGGGCTCAAGAGATCACATTCTAGCTTGCTTTGGGGGGCTTTCACAGAACATGGAAAGCTGGGTTTGGGGGGTAACTCTTTTTTTTTTTCCCCTTTGGTTCTTTGTGACAGGGTTTCTCTGTGTAAAAGCCCTGGATGTACTGGAACTAGCTTTTGTAGTCCAGGCTGGCTTCGAACTCAAATATTCCACCTGCCTCTGCTCCCAAGTACTGGGATTAAAGGCCTGTACCACCACTTCACGGCAACTTATTTTTCTTTTAAGAGGTTTAACCAGTGCCAGTGGCTTGAGGCTCTTCCTGGGGTCCTGCCCAGGGAGGCCCCAGCCCCACCATGTGAAGTGTTTCCCTTTGGCCTGCCTGGGGCCCTGGCTGTTCATGGAGCCATCACTATCTCATGGAGGGGGCTCGTCTGCCCTCCCGACCTCCTCATCAAGTGTGCCTTCTCTTTACCCCAGAGCTACTGCTGAGTCCCCAGCTTGGTGTCTGGGACCCCAGGAGAAAGTGGCCTGCCAGGCCATATTCCCGGAGACCTCACACTTTTTACCCAGAAACCAATAAAGTTGTTCAAACATGTCACTGTGTGTCTGATGTCACCTGCTGGGCCTCAGTCCAGGCTCACAGTTGGGGTCTTTCTATGGCCCACTTGGACTGGCCTTCAGCTTCCAGACTGAAGCCATCCTCCTATCTTAGCCTTTCTGGGTCTGGGGCTGAATGTGTGACCAATGCATGTAACTTCTTTGAGAAGCAGCCTCACTCGGCTCCATCCTTACTCCAGGGGTCCCCGGCTCCCAGGGGCCTCTCCTGCCACTCAGAGCTGCAGCCCTGCCTTGGCCAATGACTTCTCTGGTCAGATAAAAACCCAGCTTGACAATAAGGAAGAGATGGAGGGAGGGTGGCTCATGACAAGCCAAGGCATGTGACTTGGCCTCAGAAAGCAGGTTCCTGTCACCCTGATTGTCACATGCCATAAACTTTTATGGTCACGGAAGATCATAAACTAGTACTCAGTGGTTGGGACACAGGATGCGGTTCCACTGGTGTGCTCAGCAGACACAGGCCAAGAGCTCTAGCTGGACATTTAATACCCGGGCAGAAATGCAATTCTAAGGACACCTGCGCCCTCCCTTGCCTATCAGAATATTTAAATAAGGGACCCCAAAACATTAGAATTCCCCAGGATTCTCATGCTGCAAGGAGAAGGCTGAGACTCTGGTGCAGCCAAAGCTGGAACTTGCCTCTGGCAAAGGTCCGACCACTTTGGAAGTGACTGAAGCCGAGACAGCCATGGGTCGATGACGGGCAAGGGAGCACTGCCTGAGCAGAATCGACATTCTGACTCCTTGTGAGTGGGAGTGAGTGGAGCTGGGAATGGTGGCCCACCACTGCCCGACCTGCTCGGGGAGGTCCTGCACACTTGGTCGGTGTTGAGCCCTTAGCCTCTTGTCAGGACCTAGGAGGATAATGGGGTACTGGGGTACTCTCCGCCTCTTTGCTCTTGGGCCTGTGGCGGCTCAGCAAGAGAAGGAGCCTGGTGGCCTGAGCTCCACCCCGGGTGACTCACGTGGTGGAAGGAGAGCAAGGGCTCCTGTGACAAAAGACCCTTGGGGACAGGGTTTCTCTGTGTAGCCCTGGCTGTCCTGGAGCCCACTTCGTAGACCACAGTGACCTTGAACTCAGAAATCTGCCTGCCTCTGCCTCTCAAGTGCTGGGATCTCACGCGCACCACCACGCCTGGCCAAGATCCTGTCTTAAAACACACACCCACACCCCTGGGTGTATAAACTTCCATATGTCACTCAAAACAGCATGTCTGGGAGGGAAAGGGTCACACTGGGAACTTGCTTTGCATGACAGCCCTGAGTGGGAGTGAGGGGTCCTCACCCCTTCACTGCACGCTCTCAGGTCTCCCTCTGATGTGCAATGGAAAGTGTGCAGTTCCACAGGTGCCTCAGCTCTGCCCAGGCATGTCCCGGGCCCGCCAGAGCCCGGAGGGGGCCAGACGAGCAGGGCTTCTCCTGGCACAGTTCTGATAAGGGAATGGGGGAGGAAGATAGAAATGGAGGCAGAGCTGGAGGTGGGGCACGGAGGGAGGAAGAGGGGAGTCTTGTATACACTTTCATCTTCTGGGTTTTATGGCTGGTTTTTTGTTTTGTTTTGTTTTTTTGTTTCGTTTTTTATTTTATTTTTTGTGTGTAGGTGTTTTCCCTGTATGTGTGTATGTGTGCATTGTGTAATACAGTAACAACCCCAGAGGCCGAAGGGGACACCATTGAGTCATCCCTCCAGCTCCTGATTATTTTCTTTTCTTTTCTTTTTTTTTTTTTTTTTTTGGTTTTTCGAGACAGGGTTTCTCTGTGGTTTTGGAGCCTGTCCTGAAACTAGCTCTTGTAGACCAGGCTGGTCTCGAACTCACAGAGATCCGCCTGCCTCTGCCTCCCAAGTGCTGGGATTAAAGGCGTGCGCCACCACCCCCCCCGGCCTGATTATTTTCTTTAATTGTTTTTTGTTTGTTTGTTTGTTTTTGAGACAAGACCCACACAACCCACGCTATCCTAGAAATCACTAGATAGGTGAGGGTGGCCTTGGCTCTCCCACCTCCACCTCACAGTCTTGGCATTGGTAGATCCCACTTTACCATGAGGTTACCATGGGACAGAGAGCCTTGGGTAGGCAAGATGAAGATGTGGGACCCAAGTAAGGGTCTGCCCCACTGTGGGCCTCCGTTTCCCTAATCTGCCCTGGTAACTGCTGAACACACACCTGCCTGTTCCGTTTCCGTGTCTGAGTTCAGTCAGTGCACAGCATCCAGCAGGGGCTTCATAACCGCAGCGAGACGTCAGGGCTACGCACAGGAACCAGGTTCATGGCAGACTCTGGGAGCTGCTTTGCTGAGGCTTCCAGCAGGAGGCAGAGGGTCAGCTGATCACCACCCATTTTCTGTCCCCCACCCCGCACCACGGGGGGCTCAACACCCGAGTCCTGGCTGAGCCACCAGCATCTGCCATGCCCACCCCAGCCCTCCGCAGGGCACTTCCTGTTGGAGAACTCAATCTCACCCAGACTCCCTTTGGACAGAGTTGAGCATTTGGTCCTGAATAAATCCGTAGAGCCTTTGAAAAGATAAACCGCAGAATAAGAGTGCCTAAGAAGATTCCAGAACACCACAAGTCTTCAAGGATTTATTAGAACAAAGGGAATAAACAGAATACAGAGATGGGGTAAATAGTGTATTTCCTGAGACTAAGAAAACGGTGACCAGAATATTACTTAAAACACCGGAAAATGGAGCCGGGCGGTGGTGGCGCACACCTTCAATTCCAGCACCCAGGAGGCAGAGGCAGGCGGATCTCTGTCAGCTCCAGTCAGCTTGGTCAACAGGACGAGTTCCGGGCCAGCCAGGAACCCTATCTCGAAAAACAAAACAAAACTTACAAAAATGGGGCTGGGGCGTGGCTGAGGGGTGGAATCCCTAGAATCCCCAGTGAGGGGCCGGGGTGGGGAATTGGGGTCCCTGCAGCCTCTGTCCCATACAACACCCCCCCACACACACACACAGATGGGACCTAATTTCTCTGTGGTTCTTCGATCTTCAAGTCTAAAACGAAGGCTTGAGCTGGGCTTAGGAGTCCTGAGCACCGAGGGTCACAGGCTTATCTCCTCTCTCTGTATCTCTGTGTGTACGTGTCTCTCTCTGCCTCTCCCTCTCTCTGTCTCTCCATATCTCTTTGTGTCTCTTTCTCTCTACAACTCTGTCTCTCTGTATCTGTTTCTCCCTGTCTCTCTGTCTCTGTCTGTCTGCATCTGTCTCTGTTTCTATCTCTTTGTGTCAGGCAAGTGCTTGGCCTCCAGGCTGCCCGAGCCCAGACTTGTTTACAGGCTTTGGTTATTGTTTATTATTTATCTTCACCTCACTGTGTTATCTGCATTCTACTTTTTAAAAAACACAACTCTTTATTGATTCTTTTGGAATTTTATATCATGTACCCCAATCCCACTCACCTCTCAGCCCCTACCAGTTCTCCCCTCATCCCTGCAGCGTCCCCCCAAATTACTTCAAAACAAAACAACCAGAAAAATTCTGCCTTGCTCCTTCACCTTTCCAACACCTCATCACTCCTCCTAGCGACACCCAGAGCTGTGGTGTGACAAGCAGTGTACCCTCTTGTCCAATCAGCTGCACCCACAAAATGTCCGCTGCAATGAGTCTGGTCTGGATCAAGACCGCTGGTGTCATCGTCACTGGATCCTCACTGAAGCTCCTCTTAGCCATTGTACTGTTGTCCCGAGTCATGGAGATTCTGGGGTTTTGCTCCACGGGGCCAGTCCCTTCACACTCACCAGCAGATCAAAGATGGGGTAGATAATAGGGTGAGCCAACCCAAGGCCCAGGATGTGGGTCTGGGTGGTAGCTGAGCCGTCCCCACTTGGCAAGGGCCAGAGCCAGCTCTCCTAGGCCCCTGCCATTGGGGCCGAACTCTCACCTATGCTGTGGGGTAGGGACAGCTATCTCAGGGCCAGTGAGGGGTAGGGTTGGCTCAGCATACCCCTTGAATTTCAACACACATGGCTCCTAGGACCCCCTATGGCAACATGAGCTGTGGACATCAGCCCAGACACTGGCTGCTCTTGGGCCACAGATAGAGACATGGCCCACAGCAGCAGTCTGGACCTGGCCCCGCGTGGCTACATAGGCCATCTGCATTGGCATTGCCTTTGGTGGTGTTACACCTAGGCTGTTATGTGGCATGAAGGAGAGAGACAGTGCTTTGGATTCCAAGGACTTTAAAGAAATCTCCACAGGAGCCGTCACCACCACAGGAGCCGTCACCACCACAGGAGCCGTCACCACCACAGGAGCCGTCACCACCACAGGAGCCGTCACCACCACAGGAGTGGTCACCACAGGAGCCGTCACTACAGGAGCCGTCACCACAGGAGCCGTCACCACAGGAGCGGTCACCACAGGAGCCATCACCACAGGAGCCGTCACCACCACAGGAGCCATCACCACCACAGGAGCCATCACCACAGGAGCCGTCACCACAGGAGTGGTCACCACAGGAGCCGTCACCACAGGAGCCGTGACCACAGGAGCCGTCACCACAGGAGCGGTCACCACAGGAGCCGTCACCACAGGAGCCGTCACCACAGGAGCGGTCACCACAGGAGCCGTCACCACAGGAGCCATCGCCACAGGAGCCGTCGCCACAGGAGCCGTCGCCACAGGAGCCGTCACCACAGGAGCGGTCGCCACAGGAGCGGTCACCACAGGAGCCGTCGCCACAGGAGCGGTCACCACAGGAGCCGTCACCACCACAGGAGTGGCCACCACAGGAGTGGTCACCACAGGAGTGGTCATCACCACAGGAGTGGTCACCACAGGTCACTGATGGTCAAGGCTGCAGGACAAAGACTCGGAAGTCTCGTTTCTTCTAACAGCCCGACCAGGGGCAGAAGTAGGGTTTACAAACACAAAAATGGAGGAGGAGGCTGCTTGTTCATCCCCGTCGCCCAGAACCAAAATAATCACACAGAAATTGTATTAATTAAAAACACTGCTTGGTCCATTAGCT